AATAATTTGTCAGAAACGGTTAATTAACGCTCATTATGGAAAGCCCTGTATATATGTATATATATACATATATATTTTTAACCAGTTCATTTCGTCTTTGACCAATGCGTAATAATGACCAGATTCAACGCCAAAACCACAGTGAAAAATGACTGCCTGAAGATTATAATAGTGGTCTGCTAGATTGAAGTGTTCATCTATTTTGAACCTTTGTAAGAGTTTGGTGCTTCCGTCAGAGGTTGTGTTATGTTTGAAGAGCATCGGTGTCATTATTAGTATGACTGGTGCCTCAGCTATGCTTGTTTTCTTATAATAGTCAGTTAGTTTGGCGCATATTTGGCAATACAATTGATCATCATTCAATTATACAAAATACTTTTCTTCCTATGTAGTCCAAACATTCGTTATGGAATTGAATCAGATATAATCCACAGGATTGCTACACAATATAGAATATTGACAAAAATCACAAATTGATTCAATAGTATCACTTACTCTCCTAAGAGTTCTCCTGTTGTCTTGTCAAACAACCTCACCAAATTATCAGCTGAACTCACTAAAATGCACTGCCTGTCTCGAGAAAAGTCAACTGATAGTATTGGAGCTGAAAAAAAATAGAACCCAATTTATTATTATGATAGAAGTTGAGAGTAATAAATTTATCTTGCAACTATTTTCAAAGTGAGAGAATAGTGCAAACTTCACATTAGTCCTACTCATATACAATATACTTGTGTCAGCCCTTTTTCCAATCGTCAATGCAGTTCTGATATGCAATATTTTATATGTGTCTGAACTCCCTCAGAGATTCGGTTTTTATCTTCTCAATCAGTGCAAAACGCCGACCTTTCATGGTTCTCTTCAATCTTGGGAACAGGAAAAAGTCGCAGGGGCCAGATCTGGTGAATACGGTGGTTGAGGCATGATTACAGTGTTGTTTTTTGTTGAAAAAATTAAGAACAAGCGATGACGAGTGAGCAGGTGCATTATACCAGAACCATGAATAGTTTATTTCATCAGTTCAGACTTCCATTGTATAAAAAAAAAGGTTTATTGTCTAACATGAGTAATCCCAATTACAAGACAAATACAGGGTGTTACTAAATAAGTGTGAACATTCAAAAAGATAGGATCTTTCATATAAAGAAATTTCATTGGAACATCCCTTGTTAAGATACAGCCCCTTGAAGGAGGTACATAAAATTTGTATAACA